GGGCTAAGGCTTGGTGGGCCCGCGGCTGTGAGCCGCTCAGGCCTTGCTGGGGGGGGGGGAGAAGACTGGGCTCACCTGTTGCTGCTTCTCCTGCTTCTGTAGGCCGGGAGCTGTGGGAAATACTTCCCCCCCGCGAGTATCGCGGGTCCCACGTCTTGTAGATTCTAAAGGCTGAGCCCTGGCACGAAGCCTATTTGGGGGTTAATACTGTTGAGTCATGTTCCTGTCTCCAGTTAAGACATACTTGGTGGGGATTTCCTGGGTTTTGTGAGCCTTGTTTCTGTTTAACTTTTCAGTTTGTCTGAATGACTTTATCAGTGTTTGTCATTACCTAATAATCTACAGGCCGTAGCTTAGGTCTGCTGGTGAAAAATGGCCTGCCTATGCGAAACAGTGTGGTGCCCTTGTGACATTAAATCTAAATGGTGCTGCGTTTCTCTGTGCCGTTGTCCCCTATTTCTTCTTGCGAGCTTTCCACCCAAAGTTCTTGGATGTTCAGTATGGAAATAAATCTCCTCCTGGTTGCTCATTTAATGTGAGAACTAACAGGTTTTTTGTCCAAGACTCCTTTCCCCTACCAAATCTCAAAGTCTTCATTCCCTCAGAAAAAGATGATGTAATTGAGAATCCAAAACAGACAATACAAAATACATACTCAGATGTCATGCACAGACTGAGAGCCAGTTTGGTGTAGTGGTTAAGTGCGCGGACTCTAATCTGGGAGAACCGGGTTTGATTCCCCACTCCTCCACTCGCACCTGGCTGGATGACCTGGGGCAAACCATAGTTCTGATAAGAGCTGTCCTTGAAAAAGAGCAGTTCTTGAAAGAGCTCTCTCAGCCCCACCTACCTCACAGGGTGTCTGCTGTGGGGAGGGGAAGAGAAAGGAGTTTGTTAGCCGCTCTGAGACTCTCTTGGGTAGTGAAGGGCGGGGGATAAATCCAATCTCCTCCTCCTCCTCCTCCTCCTCCTCTTCTTCTTCTTATCAGCTGAGCTTGTTAACCTGTGGCCATGTTAGTTAGTTTTCCATCAATTTGTCATTTCTTTTCAGTTCGACTATTGGTTGTTGTAACTTCCTCATTCAATTCACTTTAGCGATTCAGTTGTTCACTCTTTTGTGTGCGCGCGTGCATGCTAATTCCCTTTTAGTGTCCCTTCAGTTCTAGAGGTGAGATGGAAACTAGACTGTCTCTTTTTTTGGGTTTTTTTTTTATACTGACATACTCTTTTTCGTATTTCCCCTTAGGTTTGCTCCATGCTTTTCGTGTATCGGAACTCCTTGACAAACGCTCTGCTCTATTTTTATTCAATGTTATTGTTCATAAGCCTTGCCTGCACTTAGTGAATCGAGCCAATTATTTGTAACGGCCTGTGTTCCATCTTCCTTCTGCACTTACACTGAGAGTTCTTCAAGAATTTACATTATGGCAGTGTACCACAGGAGAATAAAACAGCTCTTTGTTTTATAGATTGTAACATCTGCATCAACTGATCTCCAGGATTATACCTATTACTTTGTCCCTGCTCCATGGTTATCTGTGAAGCTTCTGAGGCTCTTACAGTGCTATCCTCCTCCTGGTAAAGTAACGAAGAACTGTCATGTTTTCTTGCTTTCCTTACCCAGCATAGGGAAGATAGGCTGAAGCCACACTTGCATTTGTTTAGAGAGAGAACCCAGCATAAGCGTTGCTGAGAGAGAGAACTCAGCATACGCTTACTCAAGAAAATGATTGCTCAAAATGTCCGATCACCACTATCTTACGGCCCAGCGCAGGATGCAATGCTCTTGATTTCTAACGTTCGTTCAGACCTGCTTCTATTGGAGCAGGGCATGGTGGGAGGGGAGCACGTTTTGTGCATCGGGCATAACAGTGACTCAGGCTTGAACTTGTAAAGGGCCCGTGTTTGAAGATTCAAACATTCACAAAATGAGGACAATAATGTAAAAAAAGAAATTCTGGATTAAAACAACATGGAAATGCCAATACATTATTGTCCTCATTTTGTGAATGTTTGAACTGTTGCAGCAATTTTCTGTAAATTGATGTATCTTGATTGCTGTGCCCTTTTGTTATGTTGTTGAACTTGTAAAGGGCCAGTGTTTGAAGGCCAATAGTGTGTGAGAGCCAGTTTGGTGTAGTGGTTAAGTGCGCGGACACTAATCTGGGAGAACCGGGTTGGATTCCCCACTCCTCCACTTGCACCTGGCTGGATGACCTTGGGCAAGCCGTAGCTCTGACAAGAGCTGTCCTTGAAAAAGAGCAGTTCCTGTCAGAGCTCTCTCAGCCCCACCTGCCTCACAGGGTGTCTGTTGTGGGGAGGGGAAGGGGAAGGAGTTTGTCAGCCGCTCTGAGACACCTTCGGGTAGTGAAGGGCGGGGTATAAATCCAATCTCTTCTCTTCTTCTTGTAAAGGGCCAGTGTTTGGAGGCCAATAGTGTGTGTAAGTTCTAAATGTTAATTAGCTTGGAGGGAGAGAATTGCTGTCAAAATGTATTTTGGATGTGGTCACATGCCACCTTAGTATTTCTGCATCCCGGTCAACCCTGGGGAGCAATCCTTAGCCAAACTCAACCTGGTGGTCTTCGACAAGTTAATCATTAAGCATGTTTGAGAATACTTTGACCTGAAATGTCAATAAAAGCGAGCTTCAGTTTGGAAAGCATCTGTGTATCTAGATGATGTACATCCACCATCACTGGACTTTTCTTTTAAAAAAAAAAGCTTCAGGGATTCCTGGTTAGATCTCCCACCCACTAAACATCGGTTAGGAAAGATAAGTCTTGACTCTGGTCTACTTCCCACATAGCCCTCTGGACATACTATGCACATGTAGATGTGTTCGAAGTGGGAAGCTGTTTGGCGCCCCCTGAAAGCCATTCTGAGCTTTCTGGAGGAAGAATGTGACAGCAGCGTGCTCAATAGCATTGTCTTGGTTTGAAATCGTTATTTCTTACATTCTTGCCAGAAAAGCTGACGTATCAGTCGGCCGACTTACTAACCCACTAAGTGGTCTTTTGTTGGATTTTTAATACTTAGCTGTTTCTTATGGCCCAGTCTGCATCTAGCATTTGCTCTGCTGTTATACCAAACCCACACTGGAACAGAAATTCCCGTTTACATTGCATGCCACCTTCACTTTGATTGAGTGTCGCATTTTATGGCAGTGTCCAGACTGCATGCCGCTTTCGATTCAAGCTTAGAGGGAACATTGGTCCAGACTGCATGCTGCTTTTGATTCATTTGAACTCTGGTTTTATGGTGGCTGTCTGCATAGATTTATGGCCATTTGGCCGGGACTCTGCAGTCAGTAGGTGTTGGCCTGGGGTAGCTGAATGTGGTTTTGAGCAGCATCTTTTTCTGTTCCAGTGTGTGTTTGGTACAACAACAGAACAAATGCTAGATGCAGATTGGGCCTAAATTGTTACCGAGGGGGGAAAAATCAGTCTTGGAGGACCCAAATACCAGCACTATTTGACATTATCTGAAACTGAGAAACAGTGCCATCTAATGGGCGCAAATGGGCTACAGGTGAGGGCATAGGCAATTCCTCAGTGAATTGGCTTAACCATCCTATTTCTTCCAGAAGACCCGTCTGCACGAGGCCGTCTCACAGAGTGTCTGGAAACTATTCTTAACAAAGCTCAGGAACCGCCAAAGTCCAAGAAAGTGCAGCATTCAAATGCAAAAAATGCAGTGCTATTTGAGGCAATCAGTTTAATCATCCACCATGATAGGTAAGTCAGCCCTTCATAGTGCAAAGCTGACAATGACAGTCCGTGACTTCAGCTTTCCGTTGTGTTTAGTATGTTTTACACTAAAAACGTTCAAGCCTTCTTTCTTTTAAAGATAGTATGCCAGACAGCTGTAAGCAGTCTTTCTACCCATGTTTGAGAAACCGCTGAGTGAAACAGGCTATCGCAGGAATTCCCATTGCTCTGGAGTTATCCAACCCCATAACTTTGGGAAATATACTTTTGAAATGCTTTTCTCTGAGAAAAAAAATGTACTTTTCTAAATCTGCATACTTCATTTTTAATGTGTGGCTGAATGTTAACTGCACCGCTGAAAGTGGCCATAGCAGGTCCCAACTGTGGTTCTGCTCAATTATAGAAAATACTAGTAGTTTCAGATACACCGTGTGTGTGTGTGTGTGAGACAGTCTCAGCTTTTTTCAAAAGTCACTTTGCCCAGTATTGAAACCCTGCTGGAGATTGAGCTCTATGGAAAGGTAAAGGGTAAAGGTTTCCCTTGCTCGAAAGCCAGTCGAGTCCGACTCTAGGGTTGCGGTGCTCATCTCTGTTTCAAAGCCGAAGAGCCAGCGCTGTCCGAAGACGTTTCCGTGGTCATGTGGCCGGCATGACTAAACACCAAGGCGCACTGAACGCTGTTACCTTCCCACTGAAGTGGTACCTATTTATCTACTTGCAGTTTCTTGCTTTCGAACGGCTAGGTTGGCAGGAGCTGGAACTAGAGACAGGAGCTCACTCCGTCATGCGGCACACTCGGGTCTCGAACTGCTGAACTACCGACCTTCCACAGCCTGCAGTTCAGCGTCTTAACCACTTGAGCCACCGCAGCTCCTTAGCAGCTCCTTAGGCAGCACTTAAACGAAGCCTTGATTGCTGTGTAAGAGATTAAGCTGTAGGCCTGAATCAGCCCTTTGTGTTGCTGCTGTTGCCTCCAGCCTGACTCCAGTCTTTATTCTCTAATTGTCACATGTGACCAGAATACTTGTAAACCATTTATCTGACCATAGCCAATTGAAAAGAAAGCTGAGAACCATGTTGCTTGACCACATTGGTAGAATTTTACTGATGCCAGGATATCCGAATAACGCAGAGTGTTTCAGAAAAATTAAGTCTTGCTCTTGATCATTGTTCTAACCAACTCAGCGGTATCTTTTACAGTGTTTTTGAATCTCCTCTGACCTTCTGTTCACTTTCTCAGACCAACTTAAAGAGCGGCAGTAATCTCCAGTTCAATAACTTTTGACTGGTAATCAGATTTACCGAAAAATGTTCATCAGTGCATTAAGCTGTAGGCCTGAATCAGCCCTTTGTGTTGCTGCTGTTGCCTCCAGCCTGACTCCAATTTGTAGTGTTTATTCTCTAATTGTCACATGTGACCAGAATACTTGTAAACCATTTATCTGACCATAGCCAATTGAAAAGAAAGCTGAGAACCATGTTGCTTTGACCACATTGGTAGAATTTTATTGATGCCAGGATATCCGAATAACGCAGAGTGTTTCAGAAAAATTAAGTCTTGCTCTTGATCATTGTACTAACCAACTCAGCTGTATCTTTTACAGTGTTTTTGTATCTCCTCTGACCTTCTATTCACTTTCTCAGACCAACTTAAAGAGCTGCAGTAATCTCCAGTTCAATAACTTTTGACTGGTGATCAGATTTACCGAAAAATGTTCATCAGTGCAGAATGTGATCTTTCCTATGGGAATACATGATGTATCAGTGCGTACATTGCCTGTTCACAAATGCTGTTGTGTTTTTCAAGAGGGGGAAAAAGACTATACTGCAGTCCAGGGGGGGTTTTGGTAGAAAAAGCCCAGCAGGAACTCATTAGCATAATAGGCCACACCCAACAGCAGAAACTCATTAGCATATTAGGCCATGCCCCTGACAGCACAGCTCATTAGCGTATTAGGCCACACCCCACATGTTACCAGAAGTGTGGTCATCCAGCCACACCCACCTTTTGCCCCTTATTCTGTGTATCTTGTCTGTTGTCAAAACCCAGGGCTTTTTTTGTAGCAAGAACTCCTTTGCATGTTAGGCCACACACCTCTAATGCAGCCAATCCTAATGAGTTCCTGCTGTTGGGTGTGGCCTATTATGCTAATCAGTTCCTGCTGGGCGTGGCCAACTTGGGAGCCAGCTGGAACTCCGTTCCTGCGCGTTCCTGCCCCAAAACAGCCCTGCTGCAGTCTAATCTTGAGCTGAGAGGGCATACATTGGCTCAGAATGTCTTATTTCCATGAAGTGATGTCAGCTGTTGCTGGCCATCACTGGGGTAGGATAAGGAGAATGTGTGCAATTCAATAAGAAATGCCCCGCTTCTGTTCGTAAACTTGTATTTAAGGGCGGAGCTTCACTTAACAGAACAGGTCTACACCACCTCTTTCAGTTATCTGGTGAAGATACTCCCGAGAAGAGCAAGAACTCCTTTGCATGTTAGGCCACACACCTCTAATGCAGCCAATCCTAATGAGTTCCTGCTGTTGGGTGTGGCCTATTATGCTAATCAGTTCCTGCTGGGTGTGGCCAACTTGGGAGCCAGCCGGAACGCCGTTCCTGTGCGTTCCTGCCCAAAAATAGCCCTGCTGCAGTCTAATCTTGAGCTGAGAGGGCATAAATTGGCTCAGAGTTTCTCATTTCCCTTAAGTGATGACAGCTGTTACTTGCCATCACTGGGGTAGTATAAGGAGAATGTTTGTAATTCAATAAGAAATGACCCGCTTCTGTTCGTAAACTTGTATTTAAGGGAGGAGCTTCACTTAACAGAACAGGTCTATACCGCCTCTTTCAGTTATCTGATGAAGAGACTCTCGAGAAGGGTTAACGGGGTATGTGTGGGATGCATCTTAAGCGGAAAATTTGTAGAAATGGCAGACACACCTCTTCTTCAGTGAGCAACGGTGTTGTATACTTACGTAAAACACCTTTGTACGCAGCTTTTTTTGTGCGTGCAAAATCTAAGCAACATAATCAGTTCCCACTTATGCTGCTGAGAAAATAGCTGCCGCTTCACTGTCGAAAATACTGTCCACTCCCACATGATTTCAAAGTCTGACCTTCTTGGGGATAATGGAGTTACTGGCTTGGGAATAACCAGGGCTATTTTGGGGCAGGAACGCGCAGGAACGGAGTTCCGGCTGGCTCCCGAGTTGGCCACGCCCAGCAGGAACTCATTAGCATAATAGGCCACACCCAACAGCAGGAACTCATTAGGATTGGCTACATTAGGGGTGTGTGGCCTAACATGCAAAGGAGTTCCTGCTACAAAAAAAGGCCCTGGGTTTGGACAACAAACAAGGTAAACAGAATAAGAAGCAAAAGGTGGGTGTGGCTGGATGAGCAGACTTCTGGTAACACAAGGAGTGCGGCCTCATGTGCCAATGAGCGGTGCTGTCAGGGGTGTGGCCTAATATGCTAATGAGTTCCTGCTGTTGGGTGTGGCCTATTATGCTAATGAGTTCCTGCTGGGCTTTTTCTACAAAAAGAGCCCTGGGAATAACCCATGTTGACCCCTTCCACGTTATTCCAATAGTCTTCTGTGACACTAGAGCGGTGTGTGAAGTAAGCAACCATGCCCTTCCTGTAGCAGAGGAACGGGGCCTGTGGCTGCCATGGTATTGTAAGGGCTGGGAATCCCTCCACATCCTAATGAAACGTCGCCTTGCAAAGCTGCTGATTTTAACGTTCAGCTTTTAGAAATCCTGCTGTATGAAGCGATGCAATCACTAACAAACCACAGAGTTCTTGCTGCCGTGACTTCCCTAGTGAAGGTACCTCCTTGTTGCTCACTTTCCCCAGATTGGTTTGCCTTTTTACCTTGTTCACCCCCTCTCTTTTTTTCTGCCTAGTGAGCCAAACCTGCTTGTCCGTGCCTGTAATCAGCTAGGCCAGTTCTTGCAGCACCGGGAAACTAATCTCCGTTACCTAGCACTGGAAAGCATGTGCACTCTTGCCAGTTCAGAGTTTTCACATGAGGCTGTGAAAACACACATAGAAACGGTTATCAATGCGCTGAAGGTAACTTCTGGCTCTTGTGTATTACCTGAAGTCTTCCGTCCATTAACCTTTATTTGCTGCTCCTACAAGACACCGCGGCCAGGCTCGCCTCTAGCTTCCGTCAGACATGGGGAGGCTTTGGAGTGGCTTTTTCACTGGAAGCTGTCTAAAATGTAACAGTGGAACGGGAGTCTGTGCTTGAAACATACGCTCAGTGACTCCTTGGTGATCTCACTTCTGGCTGTGACTGTGCTAGAAGTGAGGAGGACATCATGGGGGAGTAGGTACATGAGAACTAATTACGTTTGCTGCTTGCTTTATTGCCTCTTTGCCCAAAGACTTGGATTTTGGATGTATAGCTGGACTTCGGCCTGTTGGTAGCCTTTACCGTTCATCACTCAAACTGATAAGTAGCAGCCCTGGGAGGGGGGGGGCGCCTTTTCCACAAGGAGTGGGACTGAGAGTTATGAATGGATTTCCTCCTCTTTTTTTATGTTTGGTCCGTTTCCACCTTTTGACTTGTTTGCACCTTCCTTCCCCGAATGTCTTGCCGTGGGCTGACCCTTATAAGGGAGCGGTGGCGCAGGCGGTAAGTGAAGCCTGCATTTACATCTGGCCGAACAGCTTTGGCTGTTCGAGCCCCACCGTGGCCGGGGTGAGCTCCCGGCCCTATGTCCCAGCTCCCGCCCACCCAGCGGCTCGAAAGCCCGTTAAAGGGCAAGTAGACAAATGGGTACCTGCTCTTAGAGTGGGGGGGCACCCGTCCCTCGTGGCGTGGCGTGGCGGCCGCATGAGCAGCGAGGCGGCGGGTGTGTTTGACATCTGCAGTCTTCTTTTGTGTGTGTTTGTGTGTCTTGGGCAGGCAGCAAAACCCCAGATTCATTAACCTGGAGAGGGCTGCATTTCACTTAGTATATTAACTTATGCAGGTCTGCCATAAGTTCCAGAGGCAAATGAATCGTGCCTTAATATTATTCCCATGGCAGTAGAAGAAGAAGAAATTGGATTTATACTCCGCCCTTCACTATCTGAAGGAGTCTCTGAACAGTTTACAATCCCGTTTACCTTCCCCTCCCCAGAACAGACACCCTGTGAGGTAGTTGGGGCTGAGAGCGCTCTGTCAAGAACTGCTCTTGACAGAACAGCTCTGAGAGAGCCATGACTGAACCAAGGTCACACCAGCAGCTACATGTGGAGGAGTGGGGACTCAAACCTGGTACTCCCAGATTAGGGTCCGCACTCCTAACCACTACACCAAACTGGCTCTTAGCCCCAGTGCTTTCCCCTTACTCTTACTATTTTTAAAATTAAATCCGTTATTTGTATGAAATCATTTCAGAATAATACTCAATTACATACATTTAATCCATATGCATAATCGCCTTAGGTTTGAATATTTATTCTCACCTTATTTATTTATTAGATTTTTTTTTTTACCCCGCCCTCCCAGCAAGGCCGGCTTTTGTATGTGCTGTAAAATTTTGCTCCATTCATCGTTAATATATATATTTTAAAAAAATATAATCTAAGCATGCCCGGTCTTATTAAACTGCGCATGCAAATGCTTGTTTGAGTAGCTTGTTTTTGTTAACTTCTGTGGAGTCCCCGACTTGGATGATATATTGCTGTGAGCACCGATTTTAAATGTAAAATGTAATTTGATTGTTTTACTTGGTTTTATTGTTGTGTATGGCATTTGCCTCTTGTGAGCCGCCCTGGGCCCATGTGGAAGGCTGGGAAAGAAGTCTAATAAATAAATAAATAAATAAATAAGATCACTAAAGAAATTAAAATTTAGGCATTTGAGAGTGGAGGCTATTGCTACGCTCTGTGATCTGAAATGGTGTTGTGGCACAGTAGCCAAGTTGTAAGTCCATTTCTAAACTTGCTTCAACCCCCTTCTCCACTTGCACCTGGCTGGATGACCTTGGGCAAGCTATAATTCTGGCACAGCTGTCCTTGAAAAAGAGCAGTTTCTGTCAGAGTTCTCTCAGCCCCACCTACCTCACAGGGTGTCTGTCTGTTGTGGGGAGGGGAAGGGAAAGGAGTTTGTAAGCCGCTCTG